GAGCAGGGGGCGCCCCGCCGCCAGGCCCGGGCCGGAGGGCACGCACCTTGTCCACGCGCTTGTATCTCAGCGGCCTCACGGACACGGCCTCGCTGCGCCAGGCGCCCGGCCGGATCCAGTACTCGGCCTCCACCCAGTCTCCCTTGCAGGGCTCGAAACCTCCAGGGAAGACAGGGTCAGCACCTCGCTCGCCCCAGCTGTGCCGGCAGGGAGCCCCACCTGCCCTGCTCCCCGGCGCTGGGGAACCCCTCACCACGCACCTCAGGCCTGCACCCCAACCTTACTCCGAAAGAAAGAAAAGGAACTCGAGAGCGGTCGCAGGGTATCTGCCCCGGTCAGTTCCGCCGGCATAAAACGCCCCGGTGAGAGCAAGAGCCCAGCTGGGGCCAGGGGTGGGCGTGGTGGGCTGGGCGCGACAGGGCACCCTGACCACAGCGGACACATCCCCAGCCCCCAGGGTGCCGCTCCGGAACGGCCAGCCCGCAGGCAGAGCCCCCGGCTCCAGCTGCCCCTGCCGCCCGCACCCCTCAACCTGCAAGTTGGGGGGGTGAGCCTTGCTCACGCTCGGCCAAGCCCTGGGAAACAGCAGGCCCTGGCGGGGCGGGGCAGAGGGGAGGTCCGGCACCCCCCACCGAGGGCCTGCCCCCTTCTGCAGGGTGCCCCGCCCCCCACGTGGCCTCAAGGCACAGCAGCTGTGTGGACGCCCCAGCTCCCGCCCCCCGCCCCCGGCAGCCCCCCTCCGGCACAGCGTGACCCTCTGGGTCGTGTCCTGCCGGCAGCCGCAGGCTGGCTTCCCCGCTGCCGAGCTCTCGACAGAAAAGACGCCCGAAATCTCCACGGTGACCGGTCAGCTCCATCTCGGCCACTCCCGGGCAGCAGTCAAGGTCGAGTCCGGCCTCCACGGGCAAGGACGCGGACAGCAGGCGACCAGGACGCGGCTGGCTCGGCCGCGGCCCGCCACCCCGCCCGGGTCCACACGCTCTCCTGGGGCGTGGACACCCCGCCGCGGGGACAGGCGCCGGCCCTCACCCTCACACACGCTGTCCAGGGAGAAGTAGGTGCTCTGGCTGATGTAGCCGGCCCCCTCCACCAGGGACGTCACGCAGCCGATCAGCACCCGCGGCCGGGGGTCCGCCGGGCCTGGGCCGGGGCCCT